AAATTTTGCAATCACATTATCTAAAACCACTTCCTTCCGCAGATGTTTCCGTAACATGGCACGTTCGAATGTGCGTCATGAGGTGAGTCTTCCAAGAAAAACGTCTGGTGCACAGCTGGCAGATGTAGTTCTTGCGCTGATAATAATGGATTTCCATGTGTCTTCTAAGATTGCTTGCATCGAAAAATGATTTTAGACACACTGGACAGAAAGGCCTATTTCGTACTTTTTCCTGCAAAGACTTTGATTTCTTTTCATAAAGTTTGCTTTGATTTTTTTGTAAATTTTGAAATGATGCATTACTTGTCTTCACGAGTGACGAAATGCAGTCTGTAATCCAAACAAAAAATTTATCTTGATACACTTCAACTCTACTACATACTAATATCAGATGAATATAATTTATCACAAAAGAATTATTTGGTGATTAACAAGAAACACAACAGTTTGTGAAAAAAGATGGCAAAGTTCAATGGATGAAAGGCTCATATTTTTACAAGATTATTTTATCTCTAAAATAATATATAGCAACATACAATCATTTTTCAAAAATTATGTCATTTTAGTTAAGTAATGTTTGTACTTTCAAATGTTAATATCTAAAACAGAATTTTAATTATATTTTTGAATATTTAATCAGTGAGCATTAAGTTAAAATGAGTCTCCATCTATTGATACTTCAATTAATACATTTAATTCTTTAATTATTAAAACATATAAAAAAGAAATTGCCTAAGACCTGAAATATGTATTTAAATTAATGTCCGAAAGAGAACTGTCAGTGCTTTATAGACCCAAACTTTTATATTTGTAGACTCAATTTTCAGTGTTAAAAAACACTTAAGAAATTTGGGTTTAGTTTCATTTCTGTAAAAGAATTTTTAATTTAATGCAAACTAGTTCAATTCTCTTGAAATAAGATACTGTAATGAAATTACAGTATTCAATTATAATTTGAAAACTGACTGGACTATTATCATTTCAATGTTAATGTATATATTTTATTTTTTATTTCTCTAAAAGACACTGTGGCCAGGTTGGCCTTTTACAAGCATCTTAAAGCAAAAATCAACAAAACCAACAATAAAAAAAAAAAACATATAGCTATCTTCAAGACAAGTGAAGAAAATTGGAGTTTTGGTAGATTTTGTCAAGATACTTTGTTTAATAAACACAACCAAGAAAAAACAATACTCTGTAGTAGTTAGATATACACAAAAAAAGACAGAAATAGTACAGAAAATAGCCATGTAAACAAGCAAGGTCATCTGTTCCAAGAAGCATGAAAATTAATATTAAAAACAACTGTAATGATAAAATAACCTTCTTTCTCTGTATTAAAAATAATTTCACTAATTAGTTTGCATGTTTTGTATGTTTTAGTGAATTTAAAATTAAATTTAAATAATAAATGCATATCTGATCATTTCAGAATATGATAGCAATTTAAAAAACTTAACAGTTTCAATTTTTAAAATTTATAGTTAATGTTCTGTTTTTCAAATACACAATTAATTGTATTTTTGTTTCATCTAACCTGAAAATATCCATTTTTTTTCTAGTTATTAGTGTCTAGGTGTACTTATTAAATTTTAATATAAATAAGTATAATCCAGGCATTTATCTATAATCTATAATCAAATGACAAGACTAGTTAATCCAGCTTCATCATTTGATTGATGAATTTTAATTCACTTCTAATTAAAAAACTTAATTCTCAATTTCAATTTGTCAATATCCAGTAGCAGAGGTTGCACAAACAATTTTTTCCTTAACATAACCCCACAGAAAAAAGTCACATGGAGTGAGATTGGCAGAGCAAAGAAGCACTTCATCCACTCCTCATTTCAACTCCAGCTCTCCCAATCCAATAATCTGTTAGTGTGGCATTCAGGAATTTGCAAATATTCCAGTGAAAATAAAGAGAGACTATGTCTAGTTAAAACATGAATGTGCTATCATATTCCGTAAGCTGCAGCATTAATCCATTCTGCAGAATATGTAAGTAATTAATTCAACTAAGTGTTCTTGGCAAAGAAAAACGTACTGTACACTTGGCTCTAACATTGCACAAATCTGAGAGATTTGCTTTCCACCGATACCAGTTATACGTGGGTACGTTTTAGTAGTTACCTCGTACTCTAACTTAAAAAATGTATCAATCTTTTACAGACATCCCATATAATGAGACGACATTTATTCTATTTCATGCATATCAGATTTTAAACAAATCTTTTTTCATAATTTATATAGTCAAGTAGAAGTTTGAATAGGAAATATCAAAATCTATGTTGGAATTTCTATCAAGAAATTAACTTCTGCCTAAATACAGCAGTTTTTCAATAAATATAAAATAATAAATAAATTTTATAATTTAATGAATTTTGTCAATTATCAAGACAAATTTTCACACATTCAGGGCACTTTGTGTTTAAAAATAATTTGTAATTATTTTAAGTTCATCATTTACAAGTCAAATAATTTAGAAGTTTAAATAATAAATAGTTTATTATTATTATTTATTTAGTGTAATTATTTAATAAAGACTATATTAATTAATAAAATTTTTAAATTTATTTAATTATCCTAATAAAGACTAAATAAATTTTAGTTGGCTATGTACAGTACAATTAACACACTGTTTATAAGTGATAGCAAGAGTAGAAATCATACACAATTTAACAATAAAAAGAAAAATCTCTCTTCAGATTTAATTTTCTTCTTTTATTAGTTATGAGCAATTTTAAGTAGTTTCTGTGAGGTACTTATTAAATAACTAGGTATTTTCTGGGAAAAACAAAACTAAGCTTCACGTCGTAGATTTTACTGTTTTGGCTTGACACGAAAACAAATATGCTGTCATGCTTGTAACATAATGTTATGAAAACTGTTTTTATGGTGCAGATATCAAGAGATAAAAGTGGTTTTATGCAATGAAACAATGACTATTTTATGTCAGAATTCTCATTTTTCCAAATTTTCATTTATTTTTGTTGACATGAGACATCTAGAATAACTGTGAAATAATATTTCACCTCTATCTAAAACCAATTTACTCATGCAAAATCTACTTCATATAATATCTTCTCTAAACATATGTTTTAACATTTCAAACACTTACAATTTTCCAAAAATTAACTTTAAGATTCCAACAAATAATTTTATTTGTTGTTTAAATATATCATTCATTTTTTCACCAGCTACTAAGATACTACTATATTAAAACTCCACAATTCTATTTACAGAATTTCTCAACATAACTTTGTTGTACTATAGAGTTCAGAGATATACAGTAGAGCGTTGATTATCTGAATCAATTGGGAACTGGAGTTGTTTGGAAGATTGATGTTTCAGATAACCGATTATGTACGAAAAAATATATTGCGGCGACAAATCACGGACTGGTGAGATGGCGCCACTCCTCTACGAGTTTCCCGTGAATCCCGGATAGAAAAACGGGTACTGGGTTTTTCCCAGAGAGAATTCTGGGTATTGTTGCTTCTTCTTCTTGTCGGGTGATCGCTGCCATGAGCATGTGTAGCTCTCTTTCAAGTGTACTCGAGGATTGTTGTAAATAAATGTTGTTTTAGTTTAAAACGTGGTCGTGGACTTAACTAATTCACGTTTACAGCCTTCTGATAAAGACAGTCTTTGTGGAGATGTAAATGGATGGA